TTATTAACAACTTTTCCTTTTTTCTCCGTCTCTTCCTTATTCTTTTTAATCAATTATGTAAAATTTAGAAATCTGTTCGATGTCATGAAATGCTTATCAATATTATTTATAATTAGGATTGAGTTTTTATAGCAGCTAATATTACATAAATATACACTATAATATTACCTTAAAAATCGCTAAATAAGTTCTAAAAATATGCAATAAAAACAACAAAAAAAAAAAAGGAAATTTATTATTTAATAATTTTATACGAGCACACGAGACGAATGTGGACTGTATAAAGCGAATTCTACACTCATTCATTGATTATCGGCTATTAGTAGATTTAATAGAAATCGACAAAAAAAACTAACAAGATCAGCAGATAACAAAAATTATAACCAAATAACTAAAATTAAATTATTGTATTATATTATACCTACCTATATATTATCGCTGTAATTGTATAGAGTTGCATCAGCGTAATCGGTCTATTTACTTGATTTATACATTTATAATTTAATTTAAAATTAAAATTAAAATTTTGAATAAAATTTTGAATAATTTTCAAAAAACACGTTTACCAAAATAAAATTTCATAAAATATGCCCGGTTTTGATTGAAACACAGGTAAAAGGCAAAAAAGTCTCAAAAAATCCAAAAAAGCACTATAAACTAAAAAACGCAAAATATGCAAAAAAAAGCAAAATAAAATTTTTTATTTGAGTTATCTGTATCATGAAACACATTTTTAGTTTACTCTGCTATTTTTTAAGCATCTCATATATGCAAATGCTATAAAATCCCAACCCTGTTTATTATATTTCTTACGTACACAAAATATTAAAAACTTTAAACATTTAACAGTACTCATATTTCATTTTTAACATACCCAGCGGAAATAAATAAATAAATACTTGCGATGTATAGAAATCGGAAGAAAACGAAAACACATAGGATTATAATACGAAAGTTGTTTTTGAATTGGTCATAACTACCGTCCAATCAATGATTTATAATTAACAATTGAAAAAGTTAAGCGATCTATTATCTATTAATGTTTTTCTAAATATTTAAATGTTATGTCATAATATTCATCATATTCATAGAATTGTTGTAACCTACTTGGTTGAGACTGTTGAATTGGTTAAAATAGGTCACCAAGAGGGTTGATTCCGTTTAGGCGGTTAAATTTAATATTTTGAGGGTTATGACGAGAATATATTGCAACTACATTAGAATAAGTATTTTGATTTATTGAGCCAAAGATATTCGATTACAGATTATAATTTAAAAAATTAGAAATTAATTAAACTACGCACTAATAAATAACACTAGTGATGTTTTAAGTAGAAAATTGATAACAAACCATTATTGACCGAGTAAAAATGTCAATGCTATACCGAGTACTGGGTCAGGGCAGAGTAAAAATGCAGTGTTACGCCAGGTACCGAGTAAGGGCCAAGTCTTAATTATGACATCGAGTACTCAGCCATCAAGTAATTGGCGGGTTACCAGTACTTATCAACTTAATCAACATACCGTTTTAGTAAATATACCGAAACTCGACTTACTCGAGCATTTCCCCATTGATCGTTCAATGGCAGTCCCTAAAAATGTCTAGTCAACAATAGCAAATTCGAGAATATTAGGGGTTCTTAACAGGGTTATCGTCACTATATTTTGTGAACGACATGATAAGTTGATCAAAACTGTAACATCAAAATTATTGTACTAGTGATGATGAAAGGTACATATTGTTACTGATGATACATATTGTGTTGCAGCTCTATCTAGGTATCGTATTAAATAATTCAAGGATTCTTGCCTCTTTAATTATATCAGCTTTCAGAATTCCAGTAAAACGTTTCGGATGTTCATTATACTTGATGATATTGTAGGTAGTAAACTAATTTACTGTAACAATCTAATAGACATTTTCAAAGGATACTCTTAGTAGATAAAAGTTCTACAAACGTACAACAATATACTCTCTCTTTCTCAATTTATTTATGTGTGTGTGTGTGTGTGTGTGTTTTGTTTTAATCCGAGGAGCTTTTAAGTGAAAACAATGTAATAACATTTTAAACAAATTGAATACTATCATAATTTTCTATTTTGAACTCGCCATCTAGATGTGGGCAATATTTCACCAGTGTTCCATGTAGACATGACAACTATCACTACCATTTTGTAGTATCAGGTTGGCTGCCAATCCGATTTTTGTCAAATTTGTCCATCCTGCTATGAGACACATATCTGGATCTCACCTAAATGCTCAAAAAAATTTGTGAGACCTATTTGGGGATCTCAAATATAGTTCATTTTAGTAATCGAGATCTCGAATTGGGTCTCATATATCATGGTAAATTAATCATCATTAGATTCTACCGTATTTCTAGTTTTATTTGGTAGTTTTAGCAAGGAATTATCGTCTTTTGTTGATTTTTTATGACTTTATTTATTTATTCTAATAAAACAACTTTTAATATTCTTTTAATTTACTTAATTATTACATTTAATACGTTAACGAGTTAGACAAAAGTGAATGGTAGGAATAGTGAACATCGGTACAAATGTACAAGACCTCATAGTGTCATTATTGAAATTCCCTCCATTATTGTTATCATGATAAATATTCACATATTCATATAATGTATTGTATTATAAATATTCCAATTTGTTAAGTGTTTCAAAAATTCTATCATAGTGCTACATTATTAGTAGTATATAAGTTTGCAATAATATTATTTTACATAAAATCTATGAACCTATATTATAAAAATACACAAATGGTTAATTTATATTTTACACTTAATAATATAATACCTGTGGTATAATGATTTGATAAATTGAGGGGTCAATTTGGATCTCACTTTGTTTGAATATAAACTAATTAAAATATCGATAGTGTCACCCATGCCATGAGATTCTATTTTGGTTCTCATCCATAAACAATAAAAAAAAACACCTAGAAAACCTTGGCAGTTTGGATACGGTGAGGTGAGATCCAGTATGGGATCTCATGGTAGTCAACCTGGTATTAGCATATTCTTTGATATCTCAACAAACCTAACTTTTTAAACTAATATAATTTATCGTTGAAATTTATAACTAGTAGATGATTTTTAAATAGTTTTTTATCTATGAACACTGTTCACCTATGAATTCAATACACTAAATGGTCTCCAAATGGTTCGTCGGCAAACGAACTATCATGCTATATTCACATTGTACACAAATTATACATTTATGTATATAGTAATACTAAGGTAGTAAATAAGTAGGAGGATATAAACTTTAACAATACGTTTGGAGATAAAAGATAAGGCATTTAAATTACCTATATTACCAATAAAGCCCCTGAAAAAGAAATACAACACCATGTAAGTTTTAAAAAGTTTTAACATTTTTAAAAAATAATTAAATGTTAAAACGGCAGTTTTAAATGTTCATTGTTCGTTATAATGTTGTAATAGTGACTGCAATGTTGTTTTTCAAGCTTATTTTAATCGTATATCTATCAGTTCAAATACAATACGCTAAATATAATATGACAAAAACAATAAAAATATATATATATATATTAAACGGTTAATATTATAAATGAAGCTATTGGTTATTTTTATTGGCTTACATTTTTATTTCATGCTGTGTTCTGATTGATTAATGTTACAAGTTTTCATATTATACTCAGAATAGTTCATATTGAGTCGTTGAAATAATTTTTAAGTGAATCTCAGCATCTTTTCTATATTTTTTGTCTAAATTTAATAAAAGTCACTCTCCGAAGTAAATATAATATTTTATGAAATATATTTAATTTTCAGGGAAGGTGTATATACTATAATATACCCTTTAAGTTATTTTTGTGAAACTGTAATTCCAATTCGGTTGTTTTTTTATTTTACATGATACCTAAAGCTCGAACATTTAATAACGTTATATAGTACTAAATAAATAAAAAAATTATATGACCGGAAAAAAAAATATAAAATCTACCAAACCCAAGAAAATCAATATTTATATTAAAATGTAGAAACTCGTATGCACAGAAGAATATTATGAGTTTCCATATAGGAGTATATGTTAAGATAGTATAGTGAGGCTTATGTAAACCGTAAACTGAACGGTGTATCGGGGTTACAGACATCCGGATCCTTATATAAATACACGGGAATAACTACTATTATATAATTTAATTAACATTAACAAAAATTATACAAATTATTTAATGCAATGAGGGGATATTTAGGGCCGCGCGGCTGGCTTAAGCAAACGAGCGAGCGGTACCGACCGTGACCACTCAAACAAGCGCGCCGGAAAGGTTTCACGAGTATTGGCCCTGAAAAGGGCCTTTTTTAGTTTCGGCGAATAGATCCACGAATCTCGGAGCCCCGCGTATAAATGCCGCTGGAGCAGGATTCGTGGTTATCGAATTCGTCCATGTTTTCACGGTCGCGATTGTTGCAAAAACACCCGTGCAGTTGTCGACGTGGTGTTCACTGCGGTCATCGTTATCATGATCGCCGTTGGGTGCTTCTATTCTTTCTATCTTGTTATTTTGAGATGTTGATTGTTGCGGATAGAAGTACGGAGTGGCGATGCTTGGAAAAGTGACCGGAATTTATACCTAAACGAACATCGACGCTCCATTCTCATTCGTCGGTTTCCTATCCCTCCCGTAGACGATGTAAAACCACACTATTCTTCTGTTGTATTTGGTTACCTTCGTGCCGTTTTACCTCGTCATAACGTTGTTATTTGTGGCCCTGAAAAGGACCTTTTTACTATAAATGCGCTCCGTTACAAAACCGAATTGGTTTTTACGTACGAGCGTAAATCATAATCAATATAACAACCTTGATCCTAAGTCTATATTAAAAATATTTAAAATGTTTGTAAATATATCCCATTTTGATATGGCTCTTATTTGTCTGGTAATAGAAATAAAAATAAAAATGCAGAACTCTACGCGTATTTAGAGAAATATTTAATCATTCATTATTTTTTCGTAGGTTTGCTGGAAACAACATCTAAAAATGGGTGTCAGTAGTTCGAATAGACACGATCGCTCATGTCCGTTGGACGGTGAAGGTAAGATTATTATATTATTTGTTGTACAACAAAAAAAAAAAAAAATCGCTCATCGCATGCCTACGTAAAAATATTTTTCATAGTATATCGAGTAATAATACTATAAACTTGCTCGATGTACGTTTCCAAAAATATACATACATTTCTTAATATAAAACTCGTCAAAATATTAAGTTCATATATACATTGACGTACAAGTAAGTATAATTGAATGACTACAATTTATTGTGTGTACTGTCAATTTTTCATTTTGGCATCGAAGTAATATTTTTTTCACAAACCACATATTCTTATAGTTTATCAATGATGTTATGTTATTATTCCGAGTCATGTTCATATTGCTATTTTTATCTATTGTTGGTGCGGCGACAAAGATAAACCGTGTAATGTTCCATAACACGCAGTTATGGGAGTATTATAAAAAACAAAAATTATTGAAAGAAATAATGTTCTACGAGTGTATTGATTTCTAATGAGATTTCTAATATAAATCATATATTTTTATGCACTTTCTGTAGTTTATCCGATATTTAATGATATTTCTCTTGAGATTTTCATAACTATGATTCTTTGTACGTAGAAGCGTTTTTTTAAAAATTAAAAAAAATTGCAAACCAAGACGTATAATTATTTTGGTCGAAATTTAGATGAATTTTCGGGTTGCAAATTTTTCGTTCACATATTATATTCGATCAGTTGTTGATGTTGTGAGAAAACCTTGCAGTCGAATTCATAGTTACAGGTTTTTCATAGTTGCGGTTCTCGTAATGAAAACGTCTCTGCGAAGTGTGGACGAGTAGCTCGTTAATCGACCACACATTTCCACCGGGCTCGGAATTCATCGCTGATCGTTAATGAGTGTAAATAAACTAGAGGATTTTGAACGTGAAATTACACGCGAACACCTTAGGCATAATTACGGGTTAGAAAACCGAACGACTATTACTTTGGCCGATGCTAAGTAAGCGTACAATGGTCGAATTAAACACGATTTGCATTTTACCTTAATGACATAATGATCCGAATACCCGAAACTAGGGTACACTCGTAAAGTTCAAATAACACCATAGTACGTGAATGGTATAGAACGATGAAGTGTCATATGACTTGAATTTGTGATAATATGAGACCCTGGTTCGTTTGAAACGTACAGCTGCAGCGTTATGATTATATTGTACAGGTACATCTAGGTCAAATTAAAATACAACGAGGATATACAAGATTCTGATATCAGATTTATGAATTATCCTTCAAATGATTATTATGTTATCATTATATTTTTCGATACAAAATACATACAAGCCATATATTATGTTTAAGTTACAATACAACACTATACATAGGAGGATAAAAAATAATTAATTTGGTAAGATCCAATCGACAAAAATGATGTTTAATTTTTAAACGACGTGTTTTAATATTTTGTTGACCTACATCAAGTAAGGATGATTTTTAATGCAAATGTCCATGATGATGAACGTCTTGAATATATTATAATATATCTCAAATATTTTTCCCGTTATTAATTAAATCAAGGGCAATGGCATAATCGATATCCTTCTATTATAATTTTAATAATCGCATTTTCAACACTTTTAAAATTTAACACATCAACTTTAACTGTCCCGATTAAAAATACAGTATTAATATTCTTATTATTAGTTTATATTAATGTAGTTAAATATAATTTACAAGTCAAAAAATATTCAATCGTCTGGTTATAAAAATTAGTAGCTGTGGCATTTTTTTAATGAAAATTACTATTTTTATTTGCTTATAATAAAGAAATTAAGAAATAATGAAATATTAACTTAATGTTATTGAAAATATATCTTTCCTTGTGGATAAATTGGTTGTTTATATTTATTGCAACAGTAATATTTTGTAAATATAAAAAAATTCATCGTGATTTTAAAAATGATTATAACTTTTATAAAATATTAAATTAATAAAAGTAAACAATATCCGATATTGATCTGTGTCTAACAATATGTGGTTTTGAACGATGCTCTTTCATTCAATAATAAATTTAAAATAAATAAATACTGAATTTTTGTGTTATACTACGCATACACATAATATTTATAAATTGTATATATTTAGAATGATAGTTAATTGGAAAGTCAGTCACCATAACTCGTGATCTAGTGAAAATAATCGAGTGCAGTAATTTTTTTTTGTATATGAGGAATGGTATTTTTTTTAATTTTATTTTTATTTATATTATTATTTGATAACATATAATATAATATGAATTATCAAAAAAAAAAAAAAAAAAAAAAAAAATAAAATAAAAAACTATTTAAAATTACAAGGTTAATGAAATTTAAAATTTAAACATCTAAATTTTTAGAAGTAAAACTATAAAACGGCAAATTTTAAATTATTAAAAAATAACATATTAAAAGTACATTTTTCAAACTAACAAACATAAATATTTAATTGTTACATAAATATTTGTATTCTCCGTACATGAAAATCATGTAGAAAAAAACGATATTTAAATATTTTCAGTAAATCTCATGATAAATCACAATAGGTTCATTTTCGTGCGACACTTTGTATTGGGTTCAAAATATGGAAACTGACCGTTTTTAATAGTAATAAAATCACAATGCTTCTACAATCACTAAATAACCATTAAGCTCAACCCGATTGCACAGCTCATAATGGACGCAGCTACCATGTTGGAAATGATATACGTACCTACTTAACAGTATATCAATATAATGTAAATACTCCTAATTGTATTTGCAATTTCTTTGTTTTTTTTCCGAAAAATAATAATTATTTAAATAAAAATAAAATCGATTTTCAATTATATATCATCGTGAAAAAAAAACCTTTTAGATCATGTACTAGTACTTTAATTTATTTACCCTACATCCCCTTAATTATGACAGACATGTTATGTTAGTGTATCTCGGTAATTACAATTTTCGATGGTATAATTCTGTTTGAAATTGAATTGAAAAAAACCATTAAACATGGGACTGTTAAACCATTACAGTTACTATATATATATAGAGATAGATATATACAGATATTTCTTATTTTATAAACCATTTACAACCCATAATTCTTTGTTATTGTGTCGTGTTGCTATTACATACTTTTTCCCTATCGTGGCCGTGTACATAAAAGTATTCAATACATTACGATATAAACCCACTTGTAAAAACTAATAAATAATAAATAAAATAGTGGAAATACACACATCATACACAAAGACATAATTATTTGATTTTAATAAAAGTTTCATTTGTTCCATCAATAATTTATTATAATTTCTTTATCTTAAAAGTAACTTATTAAGTATCCAAATGTTGAAAGTATGTAAAATCAATACTCGTTGGTTTATTTATTTATCTTCATTAAAACCAGTCGAAAATGACTATACGATTTTTTAATATTTTACGCGGCTGTTTAGACAGGTAAAATATGATTCGGAATGGAACGATTGCGAATGTGTCTTTTCCGGTAACACGATTGCAAACGTTTTTACCTGCCTTTAATCGTGCGGTGTTGTCAGATTTGGTGTTAGTCAATAACAAATTAGAACTAACAATGTACCAGAGAGCTTTCATAGGACGTACAATGGTCAGTTTTATAGTTCCCATCCTCCAACACACGTAGTGATATTAGTTTTAAAAGAAACATAAGCTCAAACTTCGACAATAATAAATTCAATTAATAAGAATATACATAATCCTATAGTCAAAAAGATACGAGATAAAATTAAAAAAAAAAAAAATTTAATTTTTTATTTTTTTTTATAAATTAAATTAATTTTTTATTATTTTTTTTAAATTAAATTAAATTTTTTTATTTTTTTTATTTTTATTTTTATTTTTTTAATCTAAAATTTAATTAACATTACACAATTATAATGATGATAAAATATACAAGGATCTAATTTTATATTTAAGAAAAACTGGAAATTCCTACCAGGGAAAAAATTTAAAAAAAAAAACCAAAAATGTAGAAAACAATTTTTAAAAACCATTATTTTGTTTGTATTATTTTAAAATTATTTTAACTAATCAACATTTTAAACACTACGTATTATTTTATACAATTTTATTTTAGTCTAAACGTAGTTGTTGTTTTAATTGTGTTATTAATATCAATAGTTTAAAAAATTTTTTTTGACTTGGCAACGTAGTCTAAAAAAACGTTCGTAATCGTTCGTTTTTCGGCTAAAAAATCAAATTCTCTGATAAGCGTCATTCGTTTGTAATCGTGTTTTGAAAAATGTAAAACGTTCGCAATCGTGTTGTACCCGTTTAGATTTACAGTTTGAAGGTTAAAATCAAATAATCTATGACGAGCATTTATGTCAAAAATACATTGCACAATATTCGCGATACAACGGAACACCAAAGTAATACTTGTCTACGAATAATCACGTTGTATGTTATATACATAGACCGTCTAATAGCAAAGTGGATGCATTCTAATTTTGTACGAAATAATGTATATAACCAAGGCCGTAGCTGAGGGGGGGTCCAGGGGTCCGGACCACCCACCCTGACATTTTTAAAAGTAGAAACATTTTAACGGTGAATATAGTTTATTAACTATAAATTGTATTAAATAATAATATAAGACTCCTCCCCCTAAAATTTTTTTCCAGTTACGGCCTTGTATATAACCATTGGTTTTAATAGAATTTTATATATAATATCAGTTAATTACTGTGTGCTTGCGTGGTTATGATGACTTAGTAATGATATAATGGTAAAAGTATAATACAACATTACACAAATATTATCTGAAATGAATACTATAAATCATGCGGCATGGCGAGGATACAGTTTCGTTAATATCATTGGTTGCAAAACGAAAAGCAGCTGACAGCTGAGCGATAAAACTTAAAAAGTAAAAACGTAATTCAAACTACCGAGAAAATTATACGATCAAATGAAACGGATTTAATTGAAATAACATCATTTGAAGATGGTGGCAAGGTGAACGTGCTTAATCTGTAGACGACTCGA